TCCCCCGGGGCGGCGGAGGCTCCGGGCGGCTCCCCCGGCGGAGCCCGGCGGCTCAGCCCCGACACCCGGCGAGGGTCCGCGCCGTGGCTTACCTCCCCTGCTTCGTGATGATCATCTCCGTCTGGTGCCGGTGAAATTTCAGCCAGAGTGGCCTGTTGCACAGGTAGACCTGAGCCTTGCCGGGAACGAGCCCCGGCTGGGTGGAGGAGAACTGGTAGAAAGGTGCCCCTTGGTAGGAATGGCCATACTGCTGGGGGTAAGGGTAGCCCGCCGTGGGGTAGCCTTGCGGAGAAGAGTTGGACAGGAGGCTGTTATAAGCTCCGTTGGTGATCACAGGATGGTGAGCCATGTAGCGGCTGGGGCTGGCGATGGAGAAGGCTGGGTGAGCAGGTCCATGCTGGCTGGGGTAAGGGAACATGGTACTAGGAGCAGAGGCAGCAGACTGGGGCTGGCTGGACTGAGAGAGCAGATAGCGATCTGCAGCAGATCCATCGAAACTGTGACGAAGCTCAGAGACCCCGTCCAAGACGGGAGAGAGTTTATTTCTCTGGACGTCCCCTGGTGTGTCCTTGGAGTCAGGAAAATTGTCTGTATCTGACTGATTCGTCATCCCCCTGGTAATTTTTTTCAAAGGTGAACTTCTCTCCAGGTTGTCAGTGGTCGAGATAATGGGATGATCATGCAAGGCAAGCTCAGATCCGCCTGCATGTGGGTAACTGCTGCTCACATTGAGAAATTTCTTGGAGAGCATGATAGAGGGAGAAAGACAATGCTCCAGCTGCATAGCTCTAGCACCACAGTAATAACCCTTCAGTCCCTGGATCTGAAAGGGCTCCTTAGTATCAGAAGCTAGACATCCTGGGACCCTCACTAGACAGAAAGCACTTCATCCACCAAATGCTTCCCAAACGTTTTTTTTTTTTTTTTTTTTTTTTTTTTTTTTTTTTCCTCCCTTCCCTGGGAGAAGAGATTGGCCAATTGACACTATGCAGCAATCAGGAAAGACTCACTTTTGATCTTGCTGCTTGTGGAGAGGATGAAACGGCTTCTGCCATTGGTTAACCGCTGACAGTAATTTAATTAGATAGACATTAATTAGGATAATCACCTGGCTCCTGGTCGCGACGATCATGGCAAATTGAAGGAGATGATTTTATTGTGAGATAGAAGGAAGGGGAAGGGGGAAGGGAAGAGTGTGTTTGCTGTAAGAGCTCATTATTATGTGACCTTTCCAGCATTTTTTTTTTTTTTTTTTTTTAATACGGCTGGAAAAAAAATCCAAAAACCTTCGATTCCCCCAATATTGCGCGCGTCTCCCCCCGCCTTTGTGTGTCAGGGAGGAGACGGGGTGCTGGGGGCTCCGGGGACCGGCTGCGCGGCGAGCGCCGGGCTGGGCGGCCGCTGCCCTCGGCTCACCTCCGCAATTTGCCTCCCCTTTCGGAGGGCGCAGCCCCTCTCCCCCAGCTCCTGTGAGCGACCCCCCACCCCCCCACCC